TTTTCTGTTGTCTATCCCCCAGGGAGGAGGTTATATGTAGATCCCTGTAATCAGTTCCCCCTCCAGTGCCTTGGCCTGTAGAAGGCAGGTCTGTGGTATGGCGCAGAGCTTAGAACCCCTGGGCTTCTTGGGGGGTGGGCCTGAGCCCCAGGCCCCCTTCTGCCTGCATGCCCTCTGTGGCCCTTCCTACTGCTGTCTGCCCGGGTGGCTTGCTCGAGTGCAGCTTTGTGCTCGCAGGGCGCCCCGCTCGCTCGCTCGCTCCGTGACTCATTCCTCAACAGCTCTCTCACATGAGGAAGTGAAACTGGGCCACCTGGGAGGGCCCCAACCTCGGTGACAGCGGAAGGAAGTTGCTGTGCAAACGTGGGGCTTGCTGCTGCCAAGGAGGGGGCCGTCTTCCCCGCCACCAGCGAGGAAGTGATAGAGCAAGCGCTGGCTGGCACGGCCCTGCAAGGGGGGGCCCTGGCCGGTGACTATCCTAACAGTCTCTCCCTTCCCCTCCCCTGCCTTTGCTTGGTGACAGCTGGAGGTAGCGGTAGTCACAACTGAGAGAGCCAAACACTTCTACAGCTTCCAGGACATCCACGTCACCCTCTACAGCGACGCTGATGAATGGGAGGTCAGTGCCGGGGGAGCCCAGGACCGAAGTCCACGGCCTTCCTGCTGCCAGCAGTGTCCATCTTACAGCCCAGGGGCCCAATGGCTAGAGCAGTCAGGCCAGGCTCAAGCCAGTGGTTAGAGCCCTCTGGGCAGAGGTGGTGAGGAAAACATCTGCCTAGCTTCTGGCCCGTGGGAGACCCGCAGTCCCCGCCCCCTCCGGCAGGGCTCAGCCTTGGCCCCGTGTCCTTGTGCTTATCTGTGCTGCTAAAACCACAGAGGCGCTCTGTTCCCGCCACCCTTGTCCACTTGCCTCCCAGGCTTGGGGCTGTCCAGAGCACCTCCCTTCCCATGCTGCCCGCCCGCCTACGGCCTCTGCTCTCCCACACCAGACATCCACCGTGGGCCTCATGGGGCTGCCCTGCCAGGCACTTTTAAACATTCCCAGCCCAGAGCCCTTCTGGC